AGGGATGGCCTGTGTGCTCACTGGCTGGGCGCGGTGTGGGCGACCCCCAGGCCAAGGGTTGTGGTCACACACACACACAAAAAAAATTTATGTTATGATTAGTTTAGATAATAGCTGTTGTTAGAGATCAAAGGAGAGAGAGGGATCACTACAATCAGGTCATCAAGCAGCCTTCATGGAGAAATTAGAATATGAGCTGAGCCTTGAAGGATTTCAGTAGGCATAGGTAGGAGTGGGAAGGGGTGAGGAAAAAAGACATTCCAAATGGGGAGAATGGCCTGAGCAGAGGTGTGGAAAGAGAAAGCACAGTGAATAACAGCTGTCTACTTTGACTTTAACACAGGGTTCTGAACAGATAGGGCTGAAAAGTCAAGTTGGAACCAGATTGTATTAATACCTGAGGTCAGAGAATGTTAACATTTTTAAATGGCTTTCACAATTCCTACCAAGTTATAGTTGGCAGTATATTTTGGGGGAAAAAGAGAAGTGAGCTGTTTTGCTGCTAAAATGAGTGAAGCAGTACCAGATATAGAAAAATGGTAAGGAAAAAGCAGCAATCATCCGGGAGTAATGAATAGGGAGTTAGTGTTTAATGGGTACAATTTTGTGAAAAATTTGATGAAAAAGTTATGGAGATGGATAGTGGTGGTGGTGGGTGGTTGTACAATAATGCGAATGTACTCAGTCACTGAATAGGATGGTTAAAAATGGTTACAATGCTAAGTTTTATATATTTTACCACAATAAAATTTGACAACTATTTTTTTAAGAGGCAGCAATCTGAGGCTAGATGGCATAAGAAGAGTAAAGACATCATAGACAGGAGCCCTCAAGATAAGGTTATGTTCGATAAGGCAAGGAAGTAGGAAATACATTTAAAAAGATGTCCGTCAAAAATCACTACAGTGAAATAAGTTAGCATTTAGATCATTTTAATATATGCTTCATGATTAATAATGTTCTTAACATGTAGTACCTCACTTGAAACTCTAAACGATATTCTGAGGTAGGCAATACAGCTATTACGTCCATCTTATACATAAAGAAGCAAACTCAGGGAGGTAGGGTTCTTGATAGAAGTAATCAGCAAAAGTGAGACTACCCAAGGGCTTTAATTCCAAATGCTGTGCTTTTTACACTATGTTATACTATCTTAAGTAATGACTGAGTTTTGTTGTGTACTTCCCATGAGCCAGACACTTTTCTTGTATTATTTCTACTCCTTACAACTATATCATACATAGTTACATGTTAATGAGGAAACAGCCTCATCCGCCTTAGGTCACATGGCTAGGGAAACCTGAATTTGGGATTTGAGCCTCACTTTAATCCCAAAGCCTGTGTTTTCCTCAAGTCTTGAATCTTTACCAAGCGATAAGTCTGTTCAATGTATCATAAATTATTTTCTAACAATTGGGTAAGGGTGAGGACCATTAGTGACAAAACATAAACGTTTTTAAAAAGTATATAATATTAGCATTCAAACGGCAGACAGCCAATAACTTGTGACCTTTTCATTTCTATTTATTAAGCTCCTGTTTTTCCCTTATGCTAGCTAGTAAGGTAAGGTGGACCAGGGAATGCCTTTCTGTTAGGAAAATATCTTCCTTGGGAAATTCTTGGGCGGGTGGTTTAGATCAGTTCTAGGCATCTTCATTCGCCTTCTTTTCCTTAGTGTGCTTTTACTTGGGTTCGATTTACCATGGGAATGGTGAGAGCTAGGAGAAAAGGACCAAGGAGGCAGCTTAGTTTGCTTTTCTTCTACTTCTTATCCTAACTATTGTCCCACCAAAAGGCAACTTTTTCCTCCGTGCTCATCAGTCATCCACATTAGGATGCTGGATTGCAGGTTTGACTGGTTTGGGTTCTGGGCCCTAGCCATCTCTCCTCTGCCCTCTCTTTCTTGTAATTTAAGTGGATTGAAATAATTATATTTACAGGGAACTGCTGTTTGAGAGACAAAGTTGGACAAAAGGAATGAGACTTCTTCCTGCATTGGGAATGGAAGGAGTGGAACTGAGAAGAATAAAAATGGAAGAGGGATGTCACTTTGTATATATTTTGGGACACAAGTTTTTGTGGAAAAAGGAATTTACATGAAAACTGTGTGAGGATGCTATACTTTTTATAGGGCAGGAGCAATTTTCAAACATTTTATATTGTTGATATTGTATATTCATTTAACATATTTATTGAGTACTTACTATCTGCCAGGCACAGGTACAATATTATTGGATTATATGTGCAGTATTATTATATTGTAGATACTAAATATTTCATTATCTAGTGTACATTGTAAAGTCCTGTTTGGTGAGCTTGGTAGGATGACATAATTGAGCACAATTCAAGGTGAGAAATAGCGTAGTGGCGACTTCTTGCCTTCGTATGCACACCTTCTGTGTGGGGTTAGGCAGGAGTTTTGCCTGAAATGATACCATCGCTTGGCTTGCTCCCCTTCCCTATCCTGTTTCTCTCTCTCCCTTACCAATTTCTCCCTCTCCCTTACCAGTTTCTCTTGAGAGCACCACCTTAATAAATCATTTGCTCATGAATTCTCAACTCAGGGCTTGCTTCTGGAGATCTCGATTGTGTTAGTTTGGGTCTCCAAAGAAGCAGATGCCAATACAGAATTAGATACGTGAAAGATTTATTATGGAGAGAGCCCTGTTTTGGTATTTCCCTCCATTGGAAGGGGTATTTGGATGCCATATAGCCAGTAGGATAATATCCATTGGTCACACTGGCTGCCCAGTCCAATTCCCTGTTACCTCAGGTGCCATGTTAAATATTGAGCTAATGTCATCTCCCCTACTGCTTGGAGAAAGCCCATTTACAGAAAAAGACAATGAGGCCAGCACACAGAAACAGAACTGAAAGGCAGAAGGATGGGCTGTGGGAAATGAAAAGAGGGCAAGAGGAAGGTATTAAGTCGGGAGAAGGGGGTGGCAGAGAGAGAGATGGGAAAGTGATGGGAAGAGGGATTGATTGCAGCACGGCTTGGGCTCTGGACTTTTTCATGTCAGATGACAGCTCCACTGCCATCCTAAGTTACATGAATCAGTAAATCCTTTTTATAATAGCTTAATGCTATTTGGAGTTGGGCTTCATTTATTTGCTACCAAAGAGTCCCACCTGATTAATGCAGGAGTTGAGGGGGTTTTTATCTACAATCATGTGGGTTATTATTTAGTTTCCTTTTCATCTCTCAGTCCCCAAATGAGATTGGGCTCTGAAGTTCTGAATGTGGTGGATCG